TTGCAAAAAAGAGATAATTATGAATATATTTCAGTGGTGCCCAGCCCATATCCCGAAAGCACAAAGCGAATACGGCAACCGCGAGGCTTCAAGTTTAGCAACGGAGAGATGGCTGGGAATAACACACACGCGCAAGGTGAGTTCCTTTGTTTTTTTTTTTTTAACTTTTTATGAATTATTTGATCCCAACTGTTTCTTTGAGCTCTTGTAAAACATATTGAACGCATATTCCCATAATTGTCATTGTTTGATGGCGTTTCGACCATGTTTAGTGAGATATTCACGCGCTGCTGCTCCATTCTTCTATTCAAATATCAAATGTCTTGCACGCACTTCATAGTACTACTTTATAATGCAATTGGCGCGGTGCTTTATGTGAAACTAAGTGTGAAATTGTTGCAAATTAGCAACGTTTTATTAGGCTTATTATTTTTTACAACAGCTTTTTTCACTATTCCCCCCCCCCAACCCCTTGTCTAGTTACAAATTTTATATTAGCTCACTAAATTGACATATATGCGAGCAATTTATTTGCACTTTTCTACTACTGTTTGCTCTTTTTCAATCTTCTCATCTTTCGCATATCAAGTTTTTGCACTCAACGATAAGTTGTAAACATTACGTTTTTGTTGTACGTGTGGTGGCTGTGAAGATCGGATAAGTGGAGAAAATTGAAAGAACCCCGAAAATTGGCGGTAAAGTTTTTTGGTCTTGCCGAATACAAATTTGTCTTCTTTTTTCCGCTACTAGTCAACTGCAAACAAAAAAAAATTTTTTTTGCCAGATTTGGAAGCCATTCCATTTGCACTTGTTTGCCTTCGCTGAACTCCGAAAGTAATTATGAGCTTATGCATCAAACGGTCTCTCTTTTAGTCGCAGTCTATTACTTGATACCCTGATGAGTCCGTATAAAAATAGGGTATTCTCTCGTTTTTCAAACGTGTACCGCTCCCAATTTATTTCGAGACGTAAAAAACTCCCCCGCAGGTTAAAATTTTAATTAAACTTGTTTTTTTTCCCGACGATTCATTGAGAGCCTCCGATGCAATTGAATTTGGAAGAGCGAAGATCATAAAATTCTCATTTGGCTCATTTCTGTTGTTTTTCCACAACGCAACTTTCAGGTTTATTTCCCTCGACTTCGCAAGGGTTCAACATGCTCGGAACGAGCACTTCAAATGAAATGCATGGAAAACCTCAGTTTTCCCATGAGCACAACCATCTCGATAATCAGCGGACTGAAGAAAATAGCGAACGATTGAGTAATGTCACACCGATGACTGTGAGCGACAGGCCGACAACATCGGCGCAAAGTTCCAACACAGGTTCGTTTATTCCCTATGGCAAATTTCATTGGAATGGATAACTATTGGCGTGTCTCATTTATTAATCTCGATGTATGTTCATGTAATCGGCGATTTGGCATACATGAAAATCGAATTAAGCGTTGCTCATGGAGACTTTTTTCGCTGTGTTCGGACGGCCGCAAAAGGAAAAATAACAAGCACTTGTCGTTTGAAAAAAAAAACCATTATTTCATATTACGAATGCATTTGACTAGCTTGTTAGTTTTAAGCGTTTTAAAATATTTTGTGTGTGTATTTGTAGTTTTAATATTTCTACAAAATTTGTGCTAGAAAGTGTCTTTGAAAATATAAAATTTATCCGTATTATCGTTAATTGGCAGGTATATTATAACTAATCTGTCTGATATTCGGTATAAATTTTGTTCTAGATATTTTTTTAACAATTCAGAAACCGAAAAGGTGTGTTTAACTTGAGAGATTATGTAGATTAACTGATGTGCCCATTCTTTTCACAAATTTTTGTCCAAACATTAATAGAGGAATAGTCAACAATTTTAGTAATTTGGCTTTTCCTATACGAATAAGTGCAAAAATTTTTTGTCGTTTTCTGAGCTGTTGAAGCACTAATTTGTGAGAAACTTGTCATATGTACGTTTTCAAGTGTATCCCAACAATATTAAATTATCAACAATATTAAATTATCCCAATTTCGCTGAGGAGAATTGGGTATGAGGTTTCATTTTTTTGTTTTACTGCTATGATGGGCCAACTTGACGAGCTTGCTTGCTTCTCAACTATACTTCACCAGCTCTCAGCCCACATAATAAATTAATGGGGGATAAGAAAAATGGGTGTGAGGGATTACTTAACGAGCGCGTATGGGTGGGTGTGTGTGGCAATTGAAGCCGCCGTCAATTCATGCAATCCCGTTCAGATAACCGAAAATTGTGTCGGCCAATTTGCTCACTAGTGCGTGTGGCGTATGGGTTTTGGAAGCTGACTTCTTGCGCAACTCGACCTATTACTGGTATTTCTATTCACCTGCTCGATTCTGTTTGGGCAATTTGTAGAGAAATAATTGCCTATTGCAAATTTTGGAAAGCGAACCAATAAATAGATTTTATAATTAATTTTCGTCACCAACCTTTCACCACCGGTAGTTGATATTTGGCTAATCCACGATAATTGCCCTTCCAACTATTATTATTATTATTATTAAGGGAGCCATCATTGTAATTATGAGGAAATTAGGGGGGAGGGGGGTTTATAAACACCCACGAAGGGTACAAATTGTGAATGCACGAAATATACTAAAAATATGATATATTCGTATAAGCATCGTTAAAGAAAGCGAGGGTTTAGCTGTTTGCGGTGCATTTTCCGTAGCGGTAGTTCAATCTTTGGTTTAAACAATGGTAAGTATTGTATCGTCCTAGGGGTAACCTGCCGATCAAACAATTTTTACTCTCTTCTCGTTTTTTTTCGATCGTAATAATTGATAGGTGAAAGTGATATATGTAAAAGTGTGATTGATCTTTTTTTTAACTATGCTCTATGTGTTCGCATTATACATTCTAAACAATATAAAACTTTTGTGAGTTTTTCTGACACGTGTTTTTTGTTGCGATTACCTCTGATATAAGGCAGGCGGTATCTCAAAGAGCGGCTCACTCGAAGTGTCATTGCTCCTTCATAAGGCTAGGCCGCTATTTGATATACCGGCAAGCAGACATGCCGCACGACCAAAAAATCGCGATAATAGTTGTATAAATTTCCAATCTTTCCTTTATTGTTTGCGATCCTCACCAAAAATGTCATGTTTCGTTGGAAAAAAATATGTGATGAATGCAAAAAAATTTTTGATTTATGATGCTTATGCATCATTTTGAAGGCTCATCGAGATATTTTTTTTGAGAAACGTTGTCGAAATGAGGTTTTGGATGAAATCGCATTCTAGTAATTCCGGTAGTAAGATTTACCGGAAACTCATATTTCCTATTCATAAATCCTTCAGTTTTTGTTTGCTTTGGTGTATGGATTTCGCGAGAAGATTGACCAGATTAAAATATTGAAGCCTATATTCGTTGGCCGAATTCCGATATCTAGAGAGCGTCAATTATTAATAATGACTATCGCATAGTTTGTATAACAGTCTATTTGTGTTATTTCTCGAGAGGGCGAAGTTGGTCCGGTTAACCAGACGCTGCGCAAATCGACCTGTTCGTCTCTCGTAGGTATATGATAGGTGCACACGGTGCCACTCACACCTTCTGCTCATACACATGTTTCCCAATGGTAAGACATATTTTCTTACGTTTTATTAATTTCTTCTAATAATTAATTCGATATAACATATATGCGATTAAATCAATTTCTCGACACCATTTCATCGTATAGCTAAAATTTGAACTATTGTAATAAAAACGCTAACGAATAATAGAATCTCGGTAATAGAATTCAAGATGGTTGATTCATTTCGACGTTGTGTATCTAATTTTCCACAAAAGAGCTGCGCATTATAAAAATTTTAATGATGGTGCACGCGAGAGAGGCTAAAAATGGATTTTCTGCAAAAAAAAGCGAAGATGCTGCCCATCATTAAAAACGGGTGTACTACCCCATGCGCATTTAAAAGATGCATTTATGGCTCACATTTTCTTATTAGTCGAGTTTATTTTCCATTTGGTTAATAGTGCGCTTCTACTGTAATCCTTTTGGCTTGTCTTGCTTGCCTTATTTTTATAAAATTGATCCCCCTTCCAATTGTACGGCTAAAAGACTCCTCCGTGAACTTTCTTCTTTTTTTTTCGTGAGACGCTACACCCCATGAATTATGGCAACCCATAAGTCGCCCTCAACGGACATTTCAATTTCCGCTATCCCAAATTTCAACATCCGGCTGTTTTGCTTATAAGGAATCATGGTGAAAAAAGCCTAGGCGCCTGATCTTTTGCACCTCCACAAACGCTTATGTGCAAATTGTGTCCTTTTAATGTAAGCGGAATTATGAATATGTGAAACCAATAGGGAATATGGAAATTTTCGGTTTTCTCTGTTGAGCTGCAACTATGGGCAACCGAGGTTGTCGGAGTAATTCATCGCTCACATTTTGATTTCGACCCTCCCCTCCCTCATCCAATTTCAATTTTTGTTGCCCTCACTGATTAAATTCGGAAGTGATTTATTTGGCTGGCAGGTGAAAACTTTTCGGTATCGTCACCATCGGCGACTGCAACATTATATTGCGAATCGACTAGAAAAAAACGGCGAGAGTAATATATATATATATATATATATATATATATATACATATATATCGCGTTTTACAATGATTAATAGCAAAAACATTATTATATATATATATATATATATATATATATATATATAAACGTAGCGGTGTGAATTACGTGGTGGTTCTTTTCATTGTTTCGCCGAATTCGAGGTGAATAGAAGCCTACAATTATTTCTAGTTCAATTTTTTATTTATTGTAGACTTTTTGTTCGCCGTTCGACAATTATTGTTCTAGAAATTGTTTATTTCATCTTTATTCGAGTTTTATCGCCATTTGCGTGTGCGCGTGTGTGTGTGTGTGTGTTTGCGTTCGGTTCATCATCCATTCGATTCTCATTGCGATCGACCCGTTCAACAAAACAGGCGAGACAAGACAAGCCAAAAACACTATTATTATCATCATGATTCCGGCGAAAAATTCTATTCCATATTCAGCCCTTATCAAGTTTTACACGAATATGTGGGAAGTAATGCGAACTAGTCAGGAGAAACGTGAGCCAAATTTGTTTATTTTTTTGGGATGGGAATATTAAGAAAACCGGCACTATCTATTGCCAAATTTTTACAGATGAAGGGTCGCCGTTAGTATCACCCACCAACACAGTGAAGTCGCCAAATCGAACCAATAACAAACCAGCATCTGAAATGTCGGTTATCGTAGATCCAGGTTTGTACTAACCCCACACATAAAAAGTCAAGTCAATTGTACCACAAAAATTGTGTTAGTATCAGAATGAACTGGTACAATTTTCTTGAAATATATCTACAGGGTGTCATTTAAGTTCCCGCACAACTTTGAAGACGTATATTTCTGAGACTAAAAGTCCAAATCAAACGAGACTTGAAATATTTTTTATCTATAGTATAACAAATAATTTTATATTAACTCTTTTCGATTCGGCCTTCTTTCGGAGCTATGACTTCACAGAGACGCTTCGGGTAGGATGCGACTGTGGTACGCAGGTATTCGATGGAAAGATTGTGCCATGCCGCCAGTAATGTCTTCTTCAGAGCCTCTACACTTTAGTGGGGTTTTGCGTTGACCTTCTCCTGCAAGACCCCATCACGGAAAAGTCAAGCTGATTCAGGTCTGGGGAGCAATCAGTCCATTCGGATGACTTGATAAAGTCGGGAAAATGGGTCTGGCACCACTCCTGAGTAGTTTTGGCATTGTGGGCGGGTGCTCTGTCCTGTTGAATGACCCATTTCTGCCCACCGAAATGCGTTTGAGTCCAGGGCATCACATGCTTCTTTAAAATGTCCCAAACGTAGACTTCTTTGTTCATTTTCACCCCCTGATCCAAGAAATCCAGGGGGCACCTCCCGGTTGAGCAGATGGCACCGAAAACCATCACACTGGCAGGATGTGAGGCTCGATTAATTGTTCTTCCTTTCTCAGAAGCTTGCTGGGATGTCTGGGCAAGTACTCGATGATTTTGTGGATTGAATGCCGCCTCCACAGTGAACAGCTTCTCGTCGGAGAAGACAGTGACGAGGTGTTCTCCAGACCGCGTGCGCGCAAGAAGTCGTTTTGCTTTTTCGAAGCGTCTCTGCTTGTTGACGGCCGATAGAACTGCCGCTTTTTGGACACGATATGGGGTCAGTCCAAGCTTTGTTTTGACGATTTGTTCCAAAGCGAAGATGCTCATTCCCACGTCTGACGCCATCTTTCTCATGCTCCTGTAGGGGTTTCGCCTGATCCTCGATTTGACGGCGTTGATCTTCTGAGGAGTGGTTACCGAGACGGGTCTTCCTTGTCTGAGACGGTCACTGGTCGTATTTAGCTCCTTGAAACGTTTGAAGGTGTCGTAAAGCGTTCTACGAGGCACACCGAGGCGTTGAATGATGGCTCTCGGGCTCACATTTTGCTTATGAAGTTCGATAATGGAAGCGCGATGGATGTTAGCCTTCGCCATTTCTCGGAAACACATCCGAATGAAGTGAAACTTGGAAAATAAGTAAAATATACCTTATTTAACAAAAATAAATTGTATTGTTTCACGAAAAGTGCGACAGCCAAGCTCTTCATGACGTCAAACTTTTGTGCGGGAACTTAAATGACACCCTGTATAGGTGTAAGAAGTTTAGTCTAAACCACCGACAAACTTGAACTTGATAACGGATGATTCTCTTTTTTCTTTTGTACCAATTAAATATTCTTTAGTCGTTTTCATTGACGGGATGGGCACATAAGCAGAACTCATGCTTCCGGGCGATGTTATTCAAAACATTAAACCAATTCCCATGATGATTTTACTATAGGATTGTTCTCGACACAATGCTTCATTTTCTCGAAATTTCTAATTATCAAAAAATTATTATGAGTAATATCTCGAAAGTAATCAAAGTTCTGATTGTTCAAATCCTGCAGAAGCTGCTGTTTCAATGCACCAAAAAGTAAATTGTGAAAAAAAAAACGCGCTAGACAAAATTAATGGGTTTTGCGAAAAAAGGTTAACATTAAAATTTGGAAAACAAATATTTATTAGACACGCGATTGTGAAAACTAACGTATGTATTACGGTAATTGTTTGGTTTTTTTATTCTTGGAAAAAAGAAGAACAAAATTAAATGACGAAAGAATAGATCGTGAGAGAGCACAACGAAACATTCCCATGAGTTATCACGAAAAAAAATCAGTATTGAAAAAGGAATAAATAAAATACAATTTTTTTAGTTTTATAGTTGGGAAAGCTTGAGTAAAAATGTTTCTATTTGAATAATGAAATTTTTCCAAAAATTGATAAGTTATATAAGGAAGCTTCACAATATAGTTTAATATTTTTTGAATAGAAGCCTTTCAATTTAATTTTTGAAAATTGTCACACTGGCGTTATTATATTTTTTGAAATTACGGGGGATTTGATGCTCAAAGTATGTATTTTTGTTAATCGCAATATTTCAAAAAATGTTTTTGAGAAAAAAAAAACAATTTCGGTTATAATCAACAATCTAATTAAATATGATTCATATTACGGAAATTTCGCGTGAAGTATGAAAATACAAACGTATTTGGTTTCATCTCCAATTTATTTTATCGAAAAATCAAATTTCAACTTACGGCTTCAATTCTTAATCTTTCCGTTTCGCGTGATTCATAAATCAAATGTGATTTACGTAATGCTTTTTTTTTATATGTCATTATTTTACCAATAGCTTACCTAAAATTCAATGATGTAAAGACTACAAAACGTTAATGGGACAAAATTTGAATTTTGTGTTCAACTTGTAAACTTGACGTCAAATTACACTGAAAAGCTGGACAATTTGAAAATAATAAGTAGAATGTTTATGTGTGAAAATTATATCTCGAAATTACAGCATTCAAATATTTATATAAATTAATGTTGAATTGCAGAATGCTCCGGTGAAGATGCAGAAGATGGTGTGGTCTATCCCGAGCCAACACTTTGTAAGCAATTGCAAAAAGCGTTAAATTTAATCACTTCCTAATTTAGTTGACCCGAGAACAACACATATCACCGAAGGTCAACTGGAACAGTTGCGAAAAGGGAAAAGCCTTGATAAATATGTGCCACCAAACTTGCCCGACGCCAATGCGCCCCCGAACAAAATCGTTGAATTTTTGATGAGTCACCGAATGGTAAATCGACGAACTTGAAATGAATTGAAACGAATTTTCTTATTTTAGCTAAAAGAGGGAGAAATTGTGCAAGTAAACTCGTACAGAACGAAAACAAATAAGCTGTCATACCGGTTAATAAAGAATAACATTGATAGGGAATTTGATCAGAAGGCAAGATTTTTATAATGTTGGAAATCGAATTTTTGCAAATGCGTATTTAGGCATGTGAGTCTTTGATAAAGAAACTGAAAGATAAAAAGACTGACCTGCAAAATCTCATTGACGTTGTTGCGAGCAACGGAGAGAAATATGATGGCTGCATCACTATTCAGCGAACATTGGACGGACGCCTTCAAGTACGGCAATCCTGGTTATATCAATTTTGAAAATGATAATTTTGAAGGTTCATGGACGTAAAGGCTTCCCGCATGTTGTATATGGTCGACTTTGGCGTTTCCCAGAAATGTCAAAAAATGAAACCAGACACGTTCAGCATTGTAAACATGCGTTTGAAGCTAAAAGCGATTTGGTTTGCGTTAATCCATACCATTATGAACTTGTGCCTGGAGCAATGCTCCCGCCGCATCGTGAGCTTCGGGAATCGCGAGAAGATCCACAGCCGAGCACCTCTACCGTTCCAACAGTGGTGCCGAAGCGGTAAGCATTTTCTCTATCTGCAAAACGTAAACTGTTAAGTGGATTGGATGGAAGAGAAATAAAGTATGAGATTATGGCATAAGGTTTTGCAAATATGCGAAGCCGTATTAATAGGATATCCTTGAGAGCAAAATTTTGCTATTCTTCTGACATCAGAGTATAAATGTAGTGATTGAATGAAATAAAGTATTTGCTGAAATCGACCAGACAAGCTTTCGCAAATATTTTTGTTTTCAATTTGAAAGTGCATTGTCTGCTAAAATCGAGTCTTTGTGACTCAACTTTCATGCACTTTTTGAAATTTTCAAAACATTTTCCACTCAATAGTAAGCGCTGTTTTTTTAGATCTAGACTTGTGTATTTCGAAAAAAAAAGCAATCCTAGAATTTGAATTTAAAAATGAAGATTAAGGAAATATATAGCTTTTTGAGCAACAAGTTATTTTTCCAGAGAAGTGCCCATTCCGATGCCACCCATACCGATACCCAGAACGCAAATGGCACAACAACATGCAGCTCGTGCATCGCAAATGCATACAATGCAGCAACCGATGCCGCCACCAATACCTCCGCCATTGCCACCATCGATGGCATCAATAGGGCCACCATCATTGGGCCCTGCACCAATCCCTTCATCGTCGGTTCCGCCGCAAACAGCTACCCCGATACAATCAATAACGCCGATGCCACCGGCGACGGGGATGACGCCACTGCAGATGCAGCAAATGCAGCACATTAACGCGATGCAGCAGCAACAGCAGCACATTCATCAGCAAGATTTCCGAATGTCGATGTCGTCAATGTCTTCTTCAATGCCAACAATGCCAACGATGCAGGAGATGCATCAAATGCAGCACATGCAGAATATGGGAGCTATGTCGAACATGCAACGGCCGCCAATGCCAGGAATTGACCAGATTCATCCAGGCCACCCAATGCATCCCATCCAATCGCATATCCATCCATATGTTTCAATGCCTCCAATGGGCCAAATCGATCATGGACAGCAAATGCCGCTAATCGAAGGACCATCTGCTCAACCAATTGAGCAAGGCCAGTCAGTGCTCCCAATGGGAAGAGGACTTCCAATGGGCAGAGGAATTCCTATGGCTCGCGGACATCCGATGCATCAGATGAATCCGGGACAGCAAATGATGGCGATCGGACGTGGTCATCAAATGCAGGCAATGGGATCAGGGCATCAAATGCATCAGATTTCAGAACAGAGTCAACAGATGAGAGGAATGTCAACGATGGGACCAGGACCGTCAATGTCGCAGATGGAGCATGAGAAGCAACTGAATCCATACGCATCACTTGAACAAGGACCATTGGACCGAGGACAACAACTGCACACATTTGGGACCATGGAACAAGAACATAAAATGCATTCGATGCAGTCGATGGATCAGAAACGGCAGATGTCAGCAGTACATTCAATGGATAATGAAAACAAAATGCATTCATTTGTACCACTGGAACATCAAGAACCGCCACAACCTGCAAGGTCGACCGCGCAATCAGATGATCTATTCTCATTATTTGACAATGGGATGCCGCTTGAGCCAATTTCGGACGAAGATCTCAAGAAGGAGCTGGATGCGCTGGAGGCAGAGCTAGATAGCATTCCGATAAGTAAAACTGAGTCGCAAGAGCAAAGGCATGACACAAAATCAATGGAACATGGCCAGCCAAAGGAAACAAATAAAAAGGAGAAGTCCAAGCCGCAAATGAAGCCGATCAAGAGAATGGAAGATATGCCTTTGTGTATGCGTTCAATCAAGCCAATGCCTCTCAATCATCCTGTGCCGGAGTGCATTCCACCACTAGTTTCACATCTTCGCTTCCAAGGACCAGAAGTTGCTGAATTGAGTAAGCCGATCGATTCCGATTCGGATACCGAGGAGAGTCGGCTTGCGAAAGACACGGAGAAAAATTTGTCAATTGATGAGAAGCCATCGAGCAGCAGAGAAGTTGACAAACTGAAGAAAATGCAAGAAGTTAAAAAGATCAATGAGACGAAGAAGATGAAAAAAGCCAAAGGAGCTCGAGGTGGACGACGTTCTAAAGCAGCTATCGAGGCCAAAGAAAAAATCAATCCGATGGACGTTGTTGTGACGACGGGAAAAAGGAATTTTTATCGAGAAGGCATCTATCCAGATTTTCTGGATCCCTTGAAAGCCAGAGATTCGAACGATGATGAGGATGCAAATGATTTGGAGCTACTAGAAGAAATGATGCCACACGATAAAATTGATTTGATCTCACAAGTTAAACCACCGCTACCTGTACGTTTTCCACCCGTCGACGAAATGGCTCAACAAATTGGACAACCGCCACAATCAGATTTGCCTCCGCCACCAAAGTACATGATGAAGCCAGAAGTGAGGAAGGCTGATGTTGCCGCAGTGGTAGCAGCTCAGCCAGCAGTGAAAAAATCGGGTAAAGCTGCTGATGAGGAGAGAAATACGGGTTCGCCTTTCCTAAAACTGGATGATTGTCAACCGAATTTGACTCGCCATCCCCTTCAACAACGTCCATTCCTTCATCCTGTGACGCGTTTGTACAAGAAGGAAAAAGGTTACTTTGGCGACGAAGATGGCCAAGGCGAGACATCAACAATTGGAACCCAAAATGCAACTGATTCGTATTCAGAACAACAGAAATTTTTGGACGTGTTCAATAACTTTCCACAAAACGAGCAAGGAGAATCTGACACGGTGCTTCCAAATAACGTGCTACCATCATCAACACATTTGCAACTGGCTCAGGAAGTTGTAAAGCACTTTTCTGGATTCCCTGAAACGGCCGATCAGAATATGAGCTTACCAATGCAAGTGAATGAGGTTTTTCCTATGGGAAATATGCCTCAAATTGTTGCGTCTTCCAACAAATCCAATCCGCCGAAAATGGTTTCTTCCTCCTCTGCAACACCGCTTGATCAGGAAATGAGAAATGACCCAACACCAATGGATACAAAGTCACCGTTGACAATGCATACTGCTCGATCCAGTCCGATAGGAATGGAGCAAAGTTCGACATCACTACCGATAGAGGAAAAACCTACTCAATCGGAATTGGTAATGATGCGAGAGACTCAGGATTCAGGACGATTTTCAACGGACACGCAACAAACAACACCATTTCCACCGGATCAGAAGCCTCAGGATCTTGACAAATTCGCAACGGGAAGCCAAAAAATGCAAACGAATTCGCTGACCCCAATGAAGGATCAGGCTCAACAATCGACTTCGTACCCATTGGCACATCAGCCAACGCAATCGACCTCAATTCCAATGACGCAGCAGGAAGCTCAGTCAAATTCTATTCCAATGACGCAACAGCAAAACTCGTACCCGCTAAATTGGCAATCAGGACAATCCACCTCATTCTCAATGAATCAGCATGATGCGCCAAACTCATTCCCGATGAATCAACATCCGTCACAATCGAACACATTCCCAATGAACCAGCGGCCGTCGTATTCGACTTCATTTGATATGGATCCAACACATTCAGGCTCGTTCCCGATGAATGAGCATTCAGCTTATGCAAGCGCGTTCCCAATGGCAAAGCAGACGCAAAATTTGAACTCGTTCCAGATGAGAGAACAATCACAGAATTCTAGTGCATTCCCAATGAATCATCAACCATCAACGAGTTCCAGCGCATTTCCCAATGATCAACATAATTTAAACTCATTCCCAATGGGACACGAGCCTCAATTCCCGATGGAGCAGCATCCACAGCACTCAACTCATTTTTCAATGAGCCAACCATCGCAGCTTTCAACACAATTCCCAATAAATCAGCAACCGCCATATTCTAGTGCATTTTCATTTAATCAGCAACCATCGCACGCCAATCAATATCCAATGGGCCAACAATCGCAGCATTCGACACCTTTTCCGATGAATCCGCAATTGCAGCAGTCGGGACAATTTCCGACGGGATCTCAACCGCAACACCAAGATGGACGATTTCGCACTGATCAACAACAATCGAGTGGATTTCGAGCCGATCAGCAGTCGCAGCAAAAACGCGATCGATTTCGTGCCGGACAACAGCCTGAACAATTTCCAATGCAGCAACAAGCCGGCCGATTTCGCACTGAGCAACAATCCGGAGGGCGATTTCGCGGCCAATACGAGCCAGGAAACTATTCAATGGGACAACAATCCCAACAGCAATCTGGTCGATTTCGTAGCGAACAGCAATTTCAGCAGCAACACGGTAGATTTCGCAACGATCCGCAATCCCAATCACTATTCGGACAATTTCGCCACGAACAACAGCCGCAATCATCCGGCCAATTTCCAATGGGACACCCGTCTCAGCAACACCAACCAGGGAGTTTTCGCACCCAACAACAGTCACAACAACTGGATCAATTTTCAATGGAGCAACAACCACGGCAACAATCAGAATCATACCCGATAGGACAACAGCCCTATAATTCGGAGTCATTCGCACAGTCGCAATCATACAATCAGCAACATCAACGCCAACAGGATGTTGATCAATATCAGCAACATAGGAATAAACAACAATACGGTGGGCCTCATTATTCGCAACCGGAAAATCAACAGCAACAACATCAGAGAGTTCAGTATCCATACCCAGCACAACAGTATCCTGGTGAGCATCAAAACGGGCTTCAATATCCACTACAGGAACAACAGCAACAGCATCCCGGTGATCTTAATTATCCACCTCATGATCAACAACCCCAGGGGGATTTTCAATATCAACGGCAAGAGCAGCAAAATCGTGATGACTTTCGATATCCACCACAACACGGGCAGCAACAACAACAGCAACAACTACAACAACAACAACAACAACAGCAGCAACAACAGCAACAACAGCAGCAACAACCACAACCAGATTTGAATAATCCGCAACCACAACCTCAAAATCAAGATGACCCTCAAAACCCGGAGCGAGAGCAGAATTTTCGCTTGCTGGATGAGAAACCAGAATTCCCAACTGATCAGGAGCTAAATATTGATCAGAAAGATGAACAGAAAATTGGGCAGCGATTTCGGAGTCTAGATCAACAAAATCCGACGCAACATTATCGACAAATGCAGGAGCAGCAAAATGAGCCTGAAACAAAAAATGCTGAACTGCACCAGTCGACACAATCACAAATTGGTTCTCATCCGGAAATGCAACCTCAAACTCAAGCTCCAACTGAACAACAATCTCAAGCTCACCCACAACAAAAATCGCAGACACAAGATTGCCCCCCACAACAACAACATCAATCCCGTTCTCTACAACGTCAATCACGCCATCAAAACCGACTAAGAGAATCTCAAAGGAATCCTGAAGCTGAACTATCGATTCGCGATCAAGAAATATTGAGAGAGCAGCGTGCCAATGAACGATTCAAACGAAATCCATTGGAATACGTCCCTTTACGTCCCGGCCAGTATGTCGAGGTACCCGATCTCCGCGACAGACATGAAAGGCATTTGATTGCGCTGGACCCCGAGGAAGACGATGAATCCTTTTTTGAGCGAGTCCGAGAACGTCAAAACGCCCCACCACCAAAAACGCCGCCTCTACCACCACCATCATCTCCGCCGTCAGAACCAACATCGCGGCCGTCAACACCGATGCTAAATTATCCGGAGTATGAAGGATTGCTTTATCGGCCAGGGCCCGAAGATGAAGATAATTCCGTTCGTCGTATACAACCATCAATCAAACCGCTCCCGTTGGCCCCTGATGATCGTGGCGAGAAGTATTCATTCGACTACCATTCGTTCTACAGAGGCTACGTTGAGCAATACATTCAGCCAGACCAATTAAAAAATCGGCCAACCAAGGAGCATTTCCAAGAGCAGCTGAAAAAGCAACGCGCCCATGATGCGAACAAACGAATTCACATTCAGCCAACCATGCCGCATGTGAATCGCGCGGAAACCCGACAACAGCCATATAACAAGAAGAATTGGCGGGATTTTCGGAACGGACCTGCTAAAGAAGGTAACTCGAGCAGGAACACACGTCAAGCCAATGAAAAAACAACTGATGAGTATGATGAGCCAATGGACGAGGAAGACGTGGATTTAGTAGGTCCGTTAGCGATATTGGCTTCAAAAATAGCTGCTGAAGCAAAAATACGTGGGCAAATCCAAGATGTTTATGATTTCGGACCGCTGCCCCAACTTTCATATCGTAAGTATTCAGTTAAAATAATCTTTTAAAGGCTTTGAACAATTACAGCGCCAGTTTATGACAGATACGGAAATCCTGCAATTAGCATCAATGAGTTTCGTCAGCAATGCAAAAAGGTAAACTTTTGATGGGAAACCCTAAAAAATCTCAAAATATTTAAGCTGTTTGGCACGAAATTCTTTGTTAATCCTGAAGAGAAGGCACGACGAGAAAAGGAATCTGAGGAGGCTTACCAAAGAATGGTTGAGTTAGATCGGCAAGATCGTGAAGAAGAAGCGAAACGAAAAGAAGAGCGACGAAAGAGAAGAGAAGAGAGACAAAAACGTAGAGATGCTGGTGAAGTTGTGTCGGAATCGGAGAAAGGATCGTCTACTGATGACAGCGACGATGATCAGGAGTATGAAGATGAAGATGAAGAAGAGGAAGAAGAAGTGAAAGTGAAGGAAGCTGCTGAAGGAGATCTTAAAGAACTCGCTGAAAAGATGGATGAGACAAACGCGGATTCTGCGAATCAAGCTACAACTACTGTGAAGAAGAAAAGGAGAAAGCGATATACTGGAACTGGGGTAGATCACGGTTGAAGATAAAATTGCCATTTGCGTTTTCAGGTTACTCAAACTCCAATTGTCGGTGTATTTGAAAATAGAAAGACAATTATTGAAAATCGGAAGATTGTAAGACCCATTCCGAGGGATGGACCATTTGGCGATCTTGGTATTAATATTCCTATTGATTCATGTTCAAAATCTTTCATTTTTCAGGAGAGAATATCAGAGAAATGACATTCAACACTCTTTTAGTGTCCGGTGAAGAGCCGGAAACCAAGAAAGGTAGTGATGCTGATGAATCCGATGATATTATTACCAACTATTTTACGAACATCAACAATGAGTCTAGTGAGAAATCTAACAAAGCGCGCAAGTCGAAAAGCATCTCTCTTTTTTTCTTGGCATCATTTTTCACTTAGCTTATCAATTTTTTTTCGCTTTGACGCATGCAATTCCAGTTAGTCATAGAAACTTGATTCGCAAAATTAGTACATTAAACAGTTAAGGGGGTATTTCTTTAAACCTTCCGTTCTAGATTAAAATAGTTAAAACGTTGTTCTTAAATTTTTCGTTTCCTTTAAATAAGTAGGTGTTATTGATTTTCGTCTATGCTTAAGTGATTTGAAGGCGTACATTTATTTATCAGAAATATAAATCGATTAACTATTTTAGCCAATAAGATTATTTTCAGAAAATGTTGAATGGGCTACTGTTGTTTATTATGAGGAAACATCGCGAATTGGAGAAATGAAGGTAATCTTGAAGTCTATTTTGAATCTCATGTCTGATTTAAGGTCTGCTACAATGATTTCATTGTTGATGGTGGTTTTTTGAACACCAGTGCCAAGTTTTCACTAGGTCTTTTGCCGCATCCATTGCGTACTTTGGCTTCCATGCGAATTCGTTCGGCAATTATTGACGGAATTCGATTTTCATATAAGGACAATGGCGACGTCTGGTTGCAGAATCAAATGAAATGGCCAATATTCGTAACTAGTGGTTATTTGGATGATCAGCGGTGCATTAAAGGAATGCATCTCGTATATAAAATTCACGGTGGCGCAAAATTAAAGGTGCATCATTTGAAAATTAAAAATTACACTGACTTGATTATAATTTTTCAGGTTTTTGGATATAATGTCATGAAGGAGATTATTCGTGATCGGCTTTATTCGGCCCACATGGCCGCGATGTTTCTACTTGGTAAAAAGACTCCTATGGATCATGTTTATAAGAAAATGCATAAAGTCGACCTTAAAAGGGTAAGACTGTGTCACGAAAATGAAGAAACTCGGAAAAATTTTAGGAAGCAAGAAAAGGATCTGACGCATTACAGCACCAATGTTGTGTACGGGTTTCATTTGCAAGAGGTTTTGGAGGAGCTTATGAAGGCAAGGAAATTTATGATACCCCTTGCTGGATCGAAGTCAAAGTCAATGGGTTGGTGAAATTCGCACAAAGATATTTGCAAAACAAAAAATAAATATGTGATTTCAGAGCTTACGAATTTATGGACAGAATTCTCACTGACATTCAAATTACGACAGATCCGTTCAGTGTTGAAGACTTTGCAAAGCTGGGAATTGTTATTGAAGAATGATAATCAACTATTTTACTCATATCATTTCAATCCAAGTCGTGTCCTCTTGCATTATCATTTTATAGGTGATCCGGCAGTAACATATTAATATATTTTTACTACTATACGAATATCCCATTTGTTTTTCATCAGTGTTATTTGTTTGTTTGTGTTTGTTTTTCTTTTACTAATTTATGTCACCGACCAATCGCCATCAATTTTTGTTTCCAGGGCCAGTCACTGGTTCTCATACCAAAAATCATATTGTTTGAATCAGGAATTGTTGTTTTCTTGTATTTTTGTCTAATGAGATATTTTGTACATATGTATTGCATCATTTTAAAGAATAAATTGGGAATTTATTCAAATTGCTTTAAGCTGATTTATACTAAGAAATTTTTCGCTATTTAGATAATAATGAAATTGGCCGGCCATTTTTACACCATTACACATGAACAATTTGAAACTGTCAATTCAGGTTTTGGTCGGAAGAAAATAAATGTTTAATGAATTGTAAATTCCGTTCAAAATCATTTCAGAAGAGATGCAAGATGGACCTTATACATTTGAGTTATTAGTATAAGATGCTTCAGTAAAATTTAATAGGTCGAAATAAATGGTGCAATTCGATGCAGGAAGCACAGGCAACATCGCTGATTCCGTTTTTACCTAGTTTTTTGTCAGTTTTCACACAAACATAATTATTCGCACATTTCATCTCAGACCAATCAATTTGTGTAATTTATTAAAAAACAATTCTCATACTCATTCTATTTGCTAATGTGCACCCAAACATTCTTGCGTTCTTCCCTACAAATTTTAATTACAAGAAATAAAAACCCGCATGAATTTTTTTCGCAGACAAGCGCAAAAATGCTTTATTTACCGAGGAAATTGGTGGTTCCGACGAGCACTTTATATTTTTAAATATAAATATCATTTAATATATTATAAAAGTAAACAAATTTAAAATAAAATTACACAAAAAATTTGGAACGCTTCACGAATTTGCGTGTCATCCTTGCGCAGGGGCCATGCTAATCTTCTCTGTATTGTTCCAATTTTAGTATATGTTCTCGGAAGAACGAATGTGAGTGAATGCGCGCGGTTTATATACCCTCTATTCGCAATGTGCGGACATTTACGCGGGCCACGGCAACGTCTATTTCAAACATATGGTGAAAGAGTGTGTGTTATGTGAGACGCAGTAGTGTATGCAAACAGAACGCAGACATGATGTTCCCCAAACGTTGAGAGAAAGTTTAATATATGAGAGCAGCTAAAGAAGTCAACGAAAAGCGAGATAGGAAAATCCGAGGAGAGTAAATTGCCATAGGACAGCAAATTCGCTCTATCGAAATTGTTCACTATGATTAAAAAACGTCAAAACTAGTTAGGATTTTCGTTTTTCTTTTTGTAATAATCAAAATTATCTTACAACTTTATTTTTGCAGTGAAACCCATCAAAATTCAATGACGCTCACGTCGCGAGCACCGAAAAAGTTAATCAAAATTTCGATGACAAAATAACAGGTTCGTTAAGTTTTGACGTTTCAAACATTGATTATCTGTTCTGAATCGGTGTAATTACTTACGTTTCTCACGATAATTACGCGATGGAGAAATATGATAAATAACAATAGAAAAATATATAATTTAGGAGTAACAAATCAAAATAATCGGATAATCGCCTTGTAAGAGGACGCTGGTCTACTGGACGGATTAAAAAATTAATTTAGCGAAAGAATACTACTGAAATAGGAGATATAAAAGCTATAGTCATTTAAAGGTAAATTTAAATAATTTTCAATAGAATAATGCTTAGTTTTCAGCGTTTTTTTAATGCTCAAAGTCAATCTGTAAGCGTTGAAGTTTTGCGTTGACACTGCGTAATGAATATAAATGGTTTCTTCCATATAAAAGTAATAGGTTGACAAAATTTTCTCATCATTTGAATATTTAAAGAAAGTGTTCAGATCGTGCTCGAATCAAACAAATGTAATATCATTACACTAACGGATGTTCACATTTGGTGATGACACATAAAATTTACAAAATGGAATTAAATTGAAATGGTAAAAAGATTTGAGAAATTAACACAAATTGACGAAGTAGATGAATTTAAGCCTATTGTTACATTTGGAAATGAAAACGAGCGCTTTGATAAATGAAGACAAAAGCTTTGAAAGTTTGTCGAAATCAAACAAAGATGTGCATCTGGTTTGAAGATCGCTGCTTCAGTTTGTAAATTTATCGTCATTTTTTTAGCTAAAAATCGATTATAAGATTTTCAGATTACTCTACATAATATCTATTGGCCGTTTACAGAAGATTTTGATCGTGCAAAAGTCTAATCTTCTGCATCAAGTTCGGACATAATCACGAGTAAATTTGGAGTTTAAAGAAGAACTTCCAAGATAATCAATACGAATTGCGATTGGGTGAACGACCTACCCTCTCAATAATTTTGATGATTGAGAAGTAAAACAATTAACATTGGTGTAGAAGTATTCGCTACTTTGATTTTAACGAGAAACTAATAAATCATTGTGAAGTAATTGTTCGAAGTTTGAGTATTTGCTAAACAGTTTCCTGGCGGTTCTGTAGTGATTTCTATCATTTATTTAAACAACATCCAGTTTCTCTTGATGACTCACGGAAAATTGTGATTACAAAGATTTTTTTTTGTCAAAATTTTCCAAATTGTTCAACATTTGGAAACGATTTTTTGAATAGTTAAATACATGAAATTTAATAATTCAAAAAAAACACAACCTCTTACTTGATTTATAAACAATTTAAATTGTGAAAAATTTATTTTTCAGTTTTCATCCATAGACATGGTTAATTTATTTCAGTTTGATTTTAATTGAAAATTTATTCTCAGGACCTGACAAGATCATGGAAGACGATTTGGAGGAAATTGAAAGGTTGTGGGAAAGAGATTTTGAAGAGATCGGGGACGGTCAGCTCGTCAACGTATGTGAAGATTCTATATCGGCATTTCATCTGTCAATGCAAGCGCCGAGACCAACACAATTTACCGGTTCCTGCAATCATTCATTGCTATCAAAGTTAAATGAAGTTAAGGGCAAATTAATCAGGGTTGTTGCAATTATCATAGCTTGTTTTTTAAAGGCTATTATTTCAGATCTCATCATTAAAAGTTAACGATTTTCGAGCGTGTTTTCATGTTCGATTAGAGGAAGAAGAAAAATGTTATCAGGACATGCAGAAAACAATAAAGTTATTACTAAACTTTTGAATAACATTCACTTTATTCTACAGCGAGCTATGTGATACCTGCACCGTGGATACTGGTCGCAGAACATTCACGTCCGAAGAATGGAAGAAGGGTGATGCGTGTTACGTTTGGTACGGTAGAGAGAATCAATACGTACGCGGGTATCTTACCGAAAATCCATCCGAAATTGTTTTGACTGCCAAGTGCGTGGACGCGGACGCCACGCTTTTTTTAACCGTGGGAAGCGTTCTGCCGATGACGCCGGAAATGGCCGAAATACCCACTTTTTCTCTGAGATGTATTTTGCCGAAATTCAGAATCCAGAACGAAGTGGGAGTTCCTCAAATATTGTCTAAACTGAATTGTATTTTCAGAGAGCTTACAAAGACATATTCGATCGCTATATAAAACGTTCACGGCTTTCAGCTACTGACATCTGCATCAAGCCTTTGAAAGTGGTACGCTTTATTTTATATTCATAGATTTATTGAGTGCGAAAGATTTCAGATTAATAATAGCGGCATGACGATGTTGGTAGAATTGTGGTTCAAGATTTCTCCTAATGAGCCACACGTCAGTTTCACAGAGTATTTAGAAGAAAAGGGAATTATCCTTTACGAGCTCTGAATATTATATAAGTACATTGTTTGTATTCTGATGATGCTTAATTTATTCACATAATAACTCTTAATTTGGTGTAGCGGCACCATTCTTGCCATAACGAATGTACGTTCAATAATTAATATTTATTTTCTTTTTTACGCATATCATAATTGTGGTTTCTACAATTTTTTTTAAATAAATAAAGCAATGGTTTTGTGAAATTGGGAAACATGTTAATGTTTTTTCCACGTTTCTAACTTTTTTGTTGAAAATGCTAAAACCCGAAGCAAAACGAAATGAACATATAATATCCGATGGAGGAGATTTTCTTGGCATGGGCGTGCGTCAAAATGCTGACGTTATATTATTTTTTTTTTTGAGAGAAGCTCCCCTTCCAATCAATGTTAACCGTTGTTTCCCTTTTTACCATTTATTATATTCCCAAAAAATACGTAATCGATAATATCAGAGGTGAAATCAATAGGTATGCGTGTTAATTCATATAATATGCAATATGTAGACATGGTTTCAAAAGGCAATGATCATGATCTGCAATAAAAATCCAAACAAAATGATGTGAATAAAAACAATAAAGAAATGTGTGAAATTCAATGAATAATATGCTTTCAATTGATAGTGAAATAATGATAATGACGAGGCAAAATTACCGAAGCAAAATCCTGCAGAAGTGTCACCGAATATTTTTTCTAACGGTTTTCCAAATTTCACCATGTGTGATAAAAAAAAAACATGAATTTGAAAATTAGACGATCAAGTGTTGAGAAGAATGCAGTGCTAATTTTGTTGAGTATCTGAAAATAATGAAATTGATCAGGTTGATTTAATTTCGAACATACTTGCAATATATTTTGGCCAAGCCACAGGAAAGTAACGTAAAATGCCATTTCAAATTTTAAACATAGCAATCATCCGCAAATACTGAATTCATGGGGCAAACGTGCAATTTGTAGTATCTGGAAACGAAAAACTTTGATATAAGTAGTGGGCAGCGAGGATATACCTGCATATTAGGAGGTATTTTGAAAATATGAAGAAACAGGAACTTGAAGTAAAGGACAAGAGCAATTGATTCAGAGATCAAATTTCAAATTTATTTTTGAGACTCTGAAATTAAAGCATATAGCTCAAATTGCGTTGAATGTTGCGATACCTGCATAGAAAGTGCTAAAGAGCTGCCTAATTTGAATGATAGTATTCAGGGATATTGTTGTTTGATAACTATCTCGTTTTTCAGTTCAAACTTTGTAAACCGCAAAGATTGATTTATCTTCACATTCTGCAAGCAAATACACTTATGGTTACATTTTTGATATCCCCATGACATACCTCTATAATGATTTTTCAATACTTTATCAGAAATGCACAAAAAACAGCTTCCATTACAAAATATTTTTTTGTTTTTTTTTTTTTCCTTTTACAGCATTTTTTTTAAATATATTTTTTCTTTTTTTATTGAGTTTTGTCACAAAAAGACGCGAAATTCCCAAATCCACTGGATCCATTTTTCATTCGCATCTGTAAAAATCTAAATATTTCTAATAACTATAGAATAGTTGGATACCTTATATAGAATAGTTGGATACCTTAAAAATAGTACTGAAATCCAAGACGATGAAATTTTTTTTCTTTTTTTCTGAATGTTTATTTTTTTAGAAGACACAAGTTGTGCTCTTACTTTTTTAATAAAAATAATGAGAGAAAAAAGCCTTAAACGAACAAAAGTAATATCTGAAAATTTGAATTTTTCGAAAGCGATAAGAAAAAATACAAACCTAATAGTATGGTATTCTAAAGAATGTCTTCAACTTGGAGCAGCTCAGCATCCCCTTCCTAAAAATGGTCATTTTCAGACAATGTCGTCGCTCAAAAAAACATACGTCGACAAGAAAATCCAACAAACGTCGCTTTTTCTCGTACTTGAGCACCGGGAATTTTTCACCGTCAACGATCTCGCGCAAAATATTTCTTCTGACATATCGATCCAATCTCTCCGTGGTGCGGTCACAATTGAAAATCGTTTTGGTATTGATATCACCGAAAATGCCATATCGGGCATTTGGCAACGTCGCCAAGATGGCGACAAAATCGGTCATTTTCATTTGTGGAATGCCGGCGATTTGAACGAGTTCCACTTTTGGCTTCAACACATACATCAATGTTTTGAACATTCCGATGGTGTCGCTCGCGGTGCCAACAAACAGCTTCGGCTTATGTAAATGCATAAACAATGTCATAATGGCATCATTAGAGACAGGACCAGCTTGATAAAATGCTTTGCCCATTTTCGATGTTGGACAAAATCCAAGCCCGTTCGTCTTGCAATATGAGACACCGGCAGCGAAATAGTCATCGTCCTGATCCGGATAGAATTCATTGTCGCGTTCCAATTGCAAGTAGAATTCTTCTCGAGAGAATGTATAATCTCTGATGACCTCCTCCATGATGCCTGGTAGATCGAATTCAGTTTTCTCGTCGTCTGGCAGAATTTCCCATTCATCTCGGTCGAGCATTCGTACAACTCCCTCTCCATTAAAATTATCCTTGAACGACTTCAACAATTGCTTCACCTTGAATTCATCGACGCCAATGCAGATCGAAAGACGCTCACGCGAAAGATACGTTCCCGCGATGTACATCGATAGAGCCTCATCGGTGATCGAGGGGCAATCGACTGCAACCAATGTATGAATTGATCTAATTGCTCGATATGCGGCTTGGAAATGGCTTGAATAGCTTCTAAAAGTTCCGTTCGGGAGTGGCGGGAATGTTATCGGCCTAGGAGGTTTGTGGAATGTTGGGTTGAATGCAGCAATGTATGTTGCTTCCTCGCTGGTGAGATGAAGAATTTTCGATTCCGACATTATTGCGAAGAACGCATTCCTTTCATCCAGTGGAGTGGCGAACGTATCATCGCTATGTAAAGCTTGAAGAATCTTGAATGATTCGGTTCGGCTCGAAATGCTCATCACTGCGGTGCTGTTCAATACATCAACGATTGGATCCACGTCATAGTGTTTGCGTTTGTAGAATGTCACGCAAATCGGTTTGTCGAGGTAGAAATCGCGTGGAAGTGTGTCCGGCAAGCCGTCACAAATTTTCACCAAAATTCTCTTGGCCAAAAGGCTTCGAAACACGTAACCGCATGCGGATCCGCCTTGAAGTGCATGAATAACAACCGGGAATCCCTCTGGAATCGAGGCGACGAATTGGTCGTGACACGTGAGATGAAGTCTCGCAATTGTATCGAAACTATCGGCGGGCTCACGGCACATTGTCGCTTTGAATACGCGATTGCTCAATTTTTCATCGTAAAATGCCGCCATTCCGCACGACGACCAGCACATCATATGAGAAATCGACTTCAATGCATCGTATGAACTTGAATAATTAATGAAGGCTCTTGATCCCATCATTATATAATTCTGAATTTCGGTTGGCGACGGGCAGCATGAGATTATCACCGGATTCGCGCGATGATATTTTTGCACTGTGCTAACGAAGTCTGTCTTCAAGTAGTAAATCTCGTTGTTAGCATCTGGAACATAGCGCTGTATGTTGAAGAATGTCCCATATGGAACAAATACGTCGCCTTGGAACACTTGTTCATTATTTGTTACGAAGCGTTCAATCTCTGGCAAAAGATCGCATTCGCCGGGATATCCAAGAACGATGGCGATGCTTCTTTCGGTGCGGGTCTTTTCAATCGTGAAGTAGACGTCCTGATGAAAAGTGCGTGGAAGGCAGTGGTACATATAAACCGCATATCTCACAACAAACTGTCCTCTTCTCAATCTAATGCTGTTGCTTTCTTTCGGCGTGTAGGTGAGTGGCATCTCATGCAATTTGTAAACGACAACCGTATCACCAATCAACAAGTTTCGATTTGCCGGATATCCCGGATTCATCACATCAATGCTTGTTGTGGTGATTCTCACGAACTGGAACGATTCCGGATTCGAAAAATAATCATTGAAAATGAGCGCCAGAATGTAATCGCCAGTTTCAGTGCAATCGATAATGCGATAAATAGCGAATACTCTCGGAACTTGAAGGCTCGTCGTCCATACCATCGGACGCTTTGTAATGTGCTGGTTCAAAACCTCTAATGATTCATAATCGAATAAGAATCGCGGCTGATCCTCAAATCGCTTCGCAGCCCTCAATGTGAAATGCTCGAGAAAGTCGTAGATCGATGCAGCCGAGTATGGAAGGAGATCATCGTTCGGCGGCTGAAAATAAAATCGATTTGGATTCAGTGAATTACTTCTTATTCCATTTGTATTGTGATTCTAACCGACTGTTAGCAGGATATAATAAAATATTAAAACCTACATAATCATTTAAAATTTGATTTGGAATAAGGGCTTGTGGATGAATATGAGGCTGAAAATATGATACATAGCATTAATTTTAATTGAGCACCTAATTCTTACGTTTGGCGGATGTTCCATTCGCGGATCAACTGGAGGCGGCGTTGAACCACGTATAAGCGGAAGGTTGTTCATTATATGCACCAAGTGGAGTGTTTCGGCATCGAGTCCACGATTCATCTTAATCGGGACTGAAATACAACAGATGTATTGTATGCCCATTTAAAACAAATGAAGTTCATGTAATAAAACGATACGTGGAATTACTATGTAACCACCTTTTGTTATTGTAGTGAATTTCCAACATAACACAGGCCATCACGTGTACCAAAGAAACGGAGGCAAATAGGAGAGATGCCGCGCAATGTAGAGGTACTGTCAGTTCGACAAGGATACAAATTGCTGTCAAATGCGCTCTATCGCGCAATAGTGTGGATTTGCAACTTGTGTTATTTTTATCACATCACGATGACACGAATTTCATGTGGTTAACCGATTTATCGGTTCTTGCAATCGTAAACATCTCTCTTTCTGGTAGCACTTGCTAATTGGTTTGGATGATACGGAGAAAAAACACCAATGCGGAAGTTACATTGACTTTTTTTAATTGATGTTTGGTTCACCCTGTTTGAACATCATGAAAAACCAAAACACTTCGACTTGAAAGGAATTTACTGAAACTACGATGTTCTTATTGCTAACTGTCACATGATGTTGAAGAATGATGGCGAGACATGATGACATAATCCATTATGGCATAATTGTGGTTCGCCATTAATGCTTATTTTTTTTGGAACATGGGTTCCAATATAGGCATTCATGGAAACTATTCGAAAACCGAACAAGTCAATAGAAAGAAAATGATTCACTTGGTACTAAACTGCGAGAATGACCATCTCTGGCATGTATACAATACAGAATCAAAGATGACACGTAAGCAAGAACGGCCGAACAATCAATGCCGATAGCGTTGCGTGTTCGCGAAGCGGTTAATAATTCCGTAGAAGCAAAAACAACTGCTGAAAAAACCAATGAGGTGTATCTCTTCCAGGAAATGTTAAGGATTTGCAGTAGCTTTTAGAGAAACCTTGGAGCGTGCCGATAGCGTGATAACCTTTAACACTAATCATGGGTTATGTTTCTATAGAAATCGAAAATTTTTAGCGACCAAAAAGCAATCGTAATAATTATTATTTTATGAATTATGTGCGGAAAACGTTTTATCAAGATTAGACTTCGCTATCATGCGCAAATAATATTAATAATCAAATTTTAATTCAAAGCAATAGATTAATATTGGACAGCGCGCGTCTCGATGAATTGACAAATGCAATGCTTAGACAATTCGGCTTGAACATTTGCACGTTTGGCGATCAGAATCGCGTTCATCGCTGGAATTGTTCTCTAGTAAAGAATGATATGGGCGATTCCCAGATGGTCTAAACATGATGATGATGATAAGAAAAGTAATTAGGAGACATCACGTTTTTTTAACGAGGTAATCAATGATTGAAAGGAATTTTCATTGCTGAAGACAACGTGATTAGGTGAGAATACGGTAGATTTTGGTAATTCTACCTGCCAAAATTTAACTGCCCCATTATGGAATTGAAATAATACAAATTGTTTGGATTCAACCCGAATAAGCACCAACTAGATTCTGATTAATTTTTCAGTTTGTCAATTATTTATTATGAGAAGTGCAAGCATGACCTTGATTTTTTCAAGCTCTTGCTTTTTCAAAATTTGACTCAAAGTTTACTATACCGATAAGGCAAATTCAACAAGGAGAAGCTAATAGGCGAGCAGGTTGGAGCTTGACTGACCCACTCATACGAGTTGAAGCATTCAGAGATTCAGAATTGAGCCTGTGATGTGCACACGAACAATGTTGAATAACTTTGTCTTAACATGCGTAGTTGTAAATCCACTCATGTGGTGAGACCCAACTCTACAGTAAACTTTTTTTACCATAAAATAATTTTTATGTGACAAGATACCATCAGTTTACTGAAATTTCAATGAATTTCTACATGACTTGCATATATTTAAAAAAAAGAGATTGAGAATGGCATGCTAGCAGGAGAAACGAACCCGAGCTTTCAACGCACTACGCCATTAACGAGCAAAAAAAAATTAGGAACGCTTCACAAAACTGCGTTTGGTAATGAGAGAGAGAGATAGACTAGATATGAAGAGAAATAGACTAGATAAGCGCCCATGACGCCGACAAAGACAATGCACCCCCAAAGACGCTTCGTCACCTTGACGAAAGCATCGAACCCGTTGTTCGCCAAAAAAAATGTGTTGTGTAGCATCTCCGTCATCCCTCCTATGCGATCGCATTATTTTTGCGAATGTTATCTACGAAAAGGCCGGCGGTGATTTATCGGGGTTGGAATGCCTCTCAAAACCATCAACGATGAGATTTGAATTTCGCGCGCAAAACATGCGTTGGAGGTCTTCCGCGTTTTTTTTCTTGTTATAAAAAAGGCGAAACGACAAAACTAATGGGAGAAAGAGGGAGAGGGAACACTAAAAAAAACACCACACGCTACAAACATCACATGCCCTCGGCAGGACGGAAAAAACAGAAAAAAAGACGAGCAGGAATATTAAGTGCATGACACCTGAAATGTATTCTAAGCCAGTTCTTTTCTTTCTCCTCGCTATATATTATAATAATTGTCTCGTGCCCCCCCCCCCTCCTTCACGAAACAAAAATTGGGCGGTGCTTGGTACCACAAGCATGCATAACATCATGTGTCCCTCCAGCCGATGACGACGAAATAGAAAGACATTGAAAAAGAAATACCTTGATGACACCCAATAATGCCAATCCGATCCTTTTTGTTTCAATTTCTATCAGATTAGTCTTCTTCTTTGACTCGATTCACTATAATCTGATATTTGATTAGCTACTAAATTTCCCCAAGATGAGTTCTCCTTCGCTGTAGTTTCCTGAAAAAGAAAACATAAAAGAGATTTGGGAGGACTGGGCAATTTAAAACAGTAAACAACAATGGATGAGGGGTGGATAACCAAAGGCTTATGGCTCATGTGATTAATGTCATGCGGATGGGAGGCGGGCAAATCCAGAAACACGAGATGCTTCAACAAGCCATACGTATGCTTAATTAAATCCTTAACGTGCAAAACTCGAGTATCGAAATGCACGAATAATCTATGAGTAGGGGAAGGGTGGGCACTCATCGCGAGTCATGAAGCATTGCAGCATGTTTCGTAAACACTCAAGAAATGGCACAAACAGAAACAGGTGTGCATATTAGCGAAAAACATTGGATGTCGATGAAATGAGACGAAATCTTGATGCGAGGCAACCGAACGCAGCGCCCAAAAAGTGATAAGAAGAAGGAGGACAACGGTTGTTGGGACGAACAAGGACACGCGCAAATGATTTCACAATGAACGCCGAATGCTATCGATTATAGAAAAAAATCAACACAACGGCGGCGGTCTGTCGGGTGGTCGGGCGTGCGAGCGAGCGGTGTTCGTCAATGCTCTCTCACTAGCAGTCGTGTGGCTCTGAGGCGCGTGCTTACCAAAAAAAATAGTGTTGGCGCCAGGAGGGCGAGAAGATTCGTTAGTCGGAGAGGCACCCCAGCATCTTTGTCCGGTACGAGTACAGCAGTAAAAAAAAAGATATAAACAAACTCGCGAAGGTCACATCCTATGTCTGTGACAACGCTTTTTCTTATTATTTTTTTTTCTTCACCAATTGCCGTCGGTGTGGTAATTGTTTATAATACGAAGTTAAAAGGAAAAGCGGCAGGAGTAATGACAAACATTCGTACAGAAAAAATAAGCCAAGAGGTGAGAGAGAAATATTATTTAACCGAAGGAATGTCGGCACCGCGGGGGTATGGATGAATAGAACGTAGTCGTGATAATGTTCTGAAAAAAGAAGAAGTTGACTGATTGATGAATTTCTCCCGTAGACGGAAGTGATTGTAGCCCAAAAATATCTATCATTCATTTTATTGTCTTCAATAAATTTCTCGGCGAAATGATAAAATTTGGTATTTCGAGAGAAAAAAAAACGAGAATTTTACAGCGAAAAAAATGACTGCGGCAACGATACGATTGTCGTCATTTCTTGAACTCAAAAACATTCCGAAAATCACGTAGATACGGGAGAGCAACGAAAAACGACTGCTCAACGCACACATACCGATACGTTTCGACGTGGGTTTGCTTAGCGGACACCAAGGAACTGGACCAATGAAACATAATACGAAAGAAGTCAATGAATCGCGGAAGAATTAAAATTCTAAAGAGCTATTATCAGAATAACTTCATAATTTATTTAAAATTACCAATAGAATAATTTTGTAAATATGGAAATCATGATTCAGAGCTCGATTAAATTCATTTTATGCTTTATATTGATTTGAGCGAACTGGAAGTTACCTGAAAATAATTGAAATTTTTAAATATGACGAATTCGTTGACAAGGTTTTCATAAATAACAATTTATTATTAATTGCTGTTAAGTATGGTTTCCCATTACTTTTTTTCTCTTATTGAAAAAATTAAATTATTAAGCAAATAAAAAACAAATTTCACGATATTCAATTTTTCTACAATATTTTCTAAAGTATCATGAGAAATTATAAAATTACTTGAAATTTGGTAATACTTACTTATAAAATTTTATAAAACTAATTAAGTAAATTCGAAATTATTTCAATACATTAAGTTGATTGTGAAAAATCTAAAATAATATAGACACATTAGACTCTCAGAAAACCGAAAAATATTTTATTTGATCTACGGAGGCTGCTTATAACTGTTAAGAGTTTAAAGCAATAAGTCGACAGCGCATTGCAAAACTTTATACATTTTTATTGGGTACGGTTTTTATCGGATTGCATGTCAATTTAATCAAAGATGTGCAATCATTTTGCCGATGGTGTTAAATGACGTTTTATTGGACATTTTTATCTTTCATTTTCCCGACAAAATTTCCCATTTGACAGTTTTTCACTTTAAAATGCATCTTTTAATAGCCGAAAATGTTGTTTGATATGATTTTTTATTGAAAACATAAGCTCACTTGTCGTTACTATTCGTCGGTTCCGCGAAAACTCGCAATTTCGGCATCAGCTTGTTTTCAACAACCATCGTGTAAAGATCTCCGATGGCATGCGTGTACACAAACTCGTTCATCAGTCGGCTTGATGGACGCGGTGTGCCTCTCGAAATTCCGTAAATCGACACACGTGCATCCGGCAAGACAGCTAGTAGCGCCATAAAGTCCCGCATGTGAATATCCAAACCATCATCAATTTGAACTGTGTATGGTCCGATGGGAGTATAATTGTATTCCATTGCCAATACGCTTACAATATCCTTGACACTTCCAATGATTGCCGTTGGCTTGTAAGTTTTCAGAAAGATCTCCAAGTATTTTGATGCCGGAAAATCCACCGGCTTCTTATAGAGCTCTCGTCCGACTTTCGATCTTGGCTTGAACTTTTTCACGTATCTTCCACAGTATTTCACCGCATGAAACAAGTCACGATAGGTGGCCTCGGACATCTCATTCGTGCCATTCTTCTCTTGCCTCAAACATTCCATGTCCATATCGATTGCTTTCTCTTTGATGACCTTGTCCATTAGAAATGGAAGATCATACTCGGTCCTTTCATCCTTTGACTTGTACAAATAATCTTCTCTTGATATAATCCGAAGAATATGAAGATCCGGATTGAAGCTGACTCCAACATTCAGTAAATTTGTGATCTCTTCTTCCTTATAGGTAATAATGAAGTGACCACATTTTGATAATTTAAGCTGGCTGACAATTCTGAAATGTAGCACCCTCGTGTCGAATGCAGTCAGACCCTCTTTCGCAATGACAGCAGCCGGATATTTAAACGAATTCATCAGCGCGATTAGTGTCGAAATATTCATAGGCCGAGTTTCCTAAATTAAATGCACAATTTCGTTTTCAAGTTTTTAATATTCGAAAATACCTTAAATAGAGTTTTCCCGCCAAACAGAGCCTTAACAGTGGCTCTTGCGACGCAATCTAGAGGCCATCGGGAAACATCATTCATATTGTGCAATTGAACAATTACGTTCTTGAAATTATCAATAGCTTGAACGTAGACTGCTTGGCAATATTTTTTGTAAAATGCCAGATTTGACAATTCATTACGCAACACAATTCCGTGAATTGTTGTGCACTCAACTGACAGCAGCCTCGCATCGAATCTTCCGATCGGTGTCACAATGTGGATCATCTTGACATCATTCAATTGTCGAGAAGAATCACAATCTGCGGTGATCATGATTCTTATAATGTTTTTGCTGTCATCATCGATAATGTCTAATTTGCCACTGATATAGGCCACATTCTTTTTCTTCGAGAGGAATCCTTCAATACCGTTTGACACCAACAGTAGTGTCTTGCCAACGCATGAAAATGCGGTGGGCTCGGGATAAACTTGAAACGCTCTCGGAGCATTTGAAATGAATTCGGGCTCGAATCGACATACGCGATATGACGCCAATGTTGGCGGTGGATGGGAAATGACGCGCGAGGCATTGTTGAATTCACCGCACAATTTGTGATAGCGCTCCGGAGAGGCGATATTGGCACAGAATAGGAAGTGGGACGAATTTGGAACAAAAACGTCGCCTTTGAACATTTTATGAAGAGATGGTTGTTTGAACATGTTGTCGCGTGTTCTGATAATACCGCTCACTTTGTTTCCGATCAAATACGACTTGGAGACGTCATCACTGTACCAGAAGCCGGTGACAAAAACGAGAACGTTGTTGCAAATCTCCCTTGGAAGAATGGTGAAGAAGTGAACTTTCCAAACTGTTTGGTATTCATCGCTCATTGGCGAGTTGCTCATCGTGTGCACAACCACCACATCTCCGAGGTAGAGCCGAATCCAAGATGAATTATTATACATTCTCTTGTAATTCTTCTTTTCCAATCTGATCATGAAAAGATCGTCTCTTTCGGGCGCAAACACCTCGAAATGCGTTGGTCGCATGAAATACCATTGTGGTGTCTCCTTGACTACCACATATAAAGCATAGCAGTCGGGCAATTTCGTGCTGGGTATTATTTCCTTACCCTTTCGATTCGGATAGTATCGACTAATCCAAGAATTCTGGATAGTGGGAATTAAAGGATCTTCGGTATTGTGCATATTTTGAAACTCCTCCACCATTTCGATATTGTAATTTTTTAAGATTTTGTCAGCAGTGTCAAGGTCCTCAAGGACGGCAGGCTTTGCATTGTAATATTGATGCCATGGATGATGTGATCTCGCAGACGTTGATATGCCAATAGACAATAACTCTCCAGTTTTGGCAATTTCCTCATGCTCCTTTTCCAATTGATTAACATTTAGTCCATCGAGTTTTCCGTCTTCTTCTTTCTCGTTTTCAATCTTGATATCATCAATTTTGCTATTGCCACAGTTTTCCGCATTTTCCGGCCCCTTGCATTGATCGATTTCGATGACATTTCCATATTCGTCAAAATCCTCCTCTTCAACTGAGTTCAAAGATCGCGTTGTCACAATTTGCGGCGGCCCACAAGTGTATTCGTTCTGGAGAAAAATTTGAAAATCAAATGAAAAAACATAACGACTAATCCACCTCCATTTCCTTCGCCCAATCAATCGTCTCTTGTGACATCATTCTTTGAATATACTCCTGAAAAAGCAAAATGTATGATTTTTTTTTAAATTTATTTTTCCAAATACTTCAAAAGCGCGTTCATCATCCGTAAGATCGTTTTTGCAATTATTTGAACCACTCATTTGATTCCCGTTGCCGGCTTCTTCAACGTGCCGCTGTAAGACCTTATAGCTTAGCGCGTTGCGGTTCGCGTGCGGTCACATGTTTTTTTCTACCGGAATTCGAAGATATTTGAAGATGACTATGAAGATTCCGGTTTTACCGGAACCACATAATGCCTAATAGAGTTCTCTAATTTTACAGGCACTTTTTAATGATAAAAAATATTGTAGGACCACACACCAACGGCAACGTGTCGGACAATGTAAAGAGCTTTGTTTTAAAGACGCACTATACTGTCGCCGTCAAACGACCTATCGGTGTTGGGAAATTGAATTTCGCAAAATCAGTGTAGATCTACAAAATTGTGAATTCAAGCGCTGACTAAAATGTGCGTTCGCTAAAATGCTCGCCTAATCAAAAAAAAAATATTACTTTTGAAAATTTTGTTCATTCGTTTGACGCCGAACTTAGTTAAAGCAAAAATGTCCACCTCATTTTCGGAATTAGTATCGGATGAAACCGAGTCGCCCAATTGATTCCGCAACATAGAATCTGACAGCTTTAGATTGATTATCGCGCCTAAAGTGGAATAAAATGTTTTGGAAAATCAATTAATAGAAAAGGCAGTAAAGCAGAATAAGTGTGCGGAACTTTGAAAATATGACAAGTTCGCGAAAATTCAATGCAAATAATTGCTAGCTTCAAAATTTGGGTTTATAGAGATAAAGGTGGGGGCGAATGCCGCAATAAACACAACATTCATAGCTGGCGATTGTTTATAGTGAAGTAAATGTTCGAAGAATACGGTATTCTGAGAAATGATTGCAACTCTTTCCAAGTATGTTGAAAGATGACGTTTTCAAAAAAATATTGAAGAATGGCTATTCCAAACCGTTTATAAAGGAATTTGTTTTTTTTTTAAAGGCGCAAAATTTAGTAATGTCGTCATCGCTTTAGCGAATAAAAAAGACAATTCGGTGACGAATCAAAATGTGCACGGTCGCGGAGCTGGAACCGTGCACTAAGAGCATTAAAATGATTAATATTCAGAAAAAAATGAACAAAGAAATGGGATTTTTTCTGTGGGAGTCGTCTTTTATTTTTTTTAATACTATGGCAGCCATTACAATACCATCAGTTTTCCCACGATTTAAATGTCAGCGTTGGAAGCGAGCACTCCATTTTTGGTTAATAATAAAATGGCTAATGGATTGGGGGACAAAAATGTAGTGCTTGAAAAAAAATGTGTAAAATATTGTAGGTAGGTGGGAATGAAAGCGAAATAAAAAAGAACAGTTTCAAGTTTCTTAACAACTTGGCTCTTATTCATTAATCTCCTAACTTATTGGCCACTACAAACGACTTATCGATGACAAGACCTTCGCTTAGAATCAGTGTAGATTTACATATTTCCAAATTTCACGATGACTGAATATTAAATGCGTATTTGCTAAAATGCAAAGTACGAAGTCTTATGAATCTTTTGTTGTCTCGAGATATCTTTCATTGTGGTCAATTTTTAAAACTCTCAGTCGGTCTGTTGAATCCCACACTAAAAGCATCACCGAAATTTTTCTATAATCTTGAAATGCAATACGAAAGTTCGAATTTGAGAAATAGTTTTTTTGAAGAGAGACTATATGAATACGGAGACTTGGGCTGAGTGTCGCACCATCGTTCATCATGTGCATACTTTTTCCTATAAGTGCAAAGCGTGGCACTCATTTTGCTCATACCATTTTGCCACTTTTATTGCCATTTTTAAATCTGTTCACTTCTAATGTATGAGAAACGACTTTACCAAAAAAACAATACGATTGAAGAGAGTAAAAAATGTTGAGAATATGGTATAATAAAAGCATTGGCTTTATGACAATATATATATATTGGACAAAAATCGATGCGTTGCCGGCGGAGCCGATGTACTAAAACGCGAAAAATTGAGACGACCTGAGATGGCGAACGACGTTTTCAATGAACCACAATTTCTTCCGATTTTGTTTGCCTCCCATCCTTTTTTTTAGATTAATTTGCTTATAGAAATTTGAGTCCGCTCGATTTCTGCATTTCTTTTTTTCTCATGTCAACAATTATTCATTGATGTTCAGGATGTGAAACGTGAAGGAGAAGAAGCTGCTAGGAGATATCAGACAATGAAAACGAAAGAGGGCCAAAATTAGAAAGCGTTCGTTGGAACCACCAATTTCCTCGCTCAACAAGCGGCTAAGCATTTATTTTCCGAAACACGCTTTTTTGCAATAAATTTTCAAAATTTACATACTGGTTTGCATTTTGTTTAATTAAGATTTTTAATATCGGGGTTTTCCAGATTTCTTCAAACTACATTATCAAACTGGGCACTTCACTACCGTATCGATTCATTCAACTGAATTTTTTATTACATTGTTTTTTTTTTTATTTATTATTTAGCGTTTTCCCCCATTACTCTTTAGTGCTAGAAAAGTCATAATATCGTTGTACAAAAAATTCAAAAATTTATCACAATACATTTTTTTTCATTCATTAAGTGTTTTAATTTAATAAACATTTTATAAAGATACACAAAAAATTTGGAACGCTTCACGAATTTGCGTGTCATCCTTGCGCAGGGGCCATGCTAATCTTCTCTGTATTGTTCCAATTTTAGTATATGTTCTCGGAAGAACGAATGTGAGTGAATGCGCGCGGTTTATATACCCTCTATTCCACTGCTGCGGACGGCCTCGCCGGTCACGACTACGCCTATCTCTAACAGAGGCGAGAGAGCGTGTGATGTGAGACGAAATATATGTGAGAACAGAACAAATTGTAAAGGAATTTAATACCGTAAATTCGCTCTATCGCACTAACGCTACTACTTCTTAATTTGCCATTTTTCAGAAACCATTGGTTTATACATATAATTTGAATACATTCAACATTAAAAGCTATGATGTTTGACGAACGATTGAAGAATGAAATCAAAGAAGGGATCAGGGCTGTGAGAAAAAAGTGTCGATTTTTCAAATTTCAGAAAAAAATATCGTTGGGCAATTTGCCAAAATTTTTTTCTCCATTTTGTTGATAAAAATAAAATTGTTCTAATTTTATGCGAAATGCTGATGGATACCGCAAAAATTCGGTATTTATATTCATAATTATTGTTGAAAATATTAAAAGCCGAAATTTTTATTTTTTTTTTCCAACAAGCCCGTTGCTGAAAAGGCCGCTTGTAAATAAGAAGCGTGAATTTTACGTGAGTTTTGTTAAAAACACAAATATTGTTTTAAATCAATTTTTTATAAACATTTTAAACAAATATTAATAATATCCCATATTGAAATAGATGAATTAATACCAAAATCCAACCCCATTTAAGAGTTTCCCTTGTGAGATCCTCTTTTGATATTCAAAAGATTTCAGGCGCGAGTATCACAGATGGTCGCCTCCTGAACAATAGAAAAAATTCCGCTCCAATCTAATATGTTTCAGCCCGTTTTTTAAACAAATTTGCATTCTCCAATTTTTAATATTCCTAACTCGTTTTTAAATTTTTTTTATAAAATAATGCACACGTTATATTAATAAATATTTTCGCGTGATCAGATATTGAACATATTTTTGTGCACAGAAAAATCAATTAATTTAAATTTATTATTGTTATTAAAACTTTGGCAAATTGCCCAACGATATTTTTTTCTGAAATTTGAAAAATCGACACTTTTTTCTAACAGCCCTGGTCCGTTCTTTGATTTCATTCTTCAATCGTTCGTCAAACATCATAGCTTTTAGTGTTGAATGTATTCAAATTATATGTATAAACCAATGGTTTCTGAAAAATGGCAAATTAAGAAGTAGTAGCGTTAGTGCGATAGAGCGAATTTACGGTATTAAATTCCTTTACAATTTGTTCTGTTCTCACATATATTGCGTCTCACATCACACGCTCTCTCGCCTCTGTTAGAGATAGGCGTAGTCGTGACCCGCGAGGCCGTCCGCAGCAGTGGAATAGAGGGTATATAAACCGCGCGCATTCACTCACATTCGTTCTTCCGAGAACATATACTAAAATTGGAACAATACAGAGAAGATTAGCATGGCCCCTGCGCAAGGATGACACGCAAATTCGTGAAGCGTTCCAAATTTTTTGTGTAATTTTATTTTAAATTTGTTTACTTGTATAATATATGATATTATATTTCAATTTACAAAATAGAACGTGCTCGTTGGAGTTATCAATTTCCTCCGTGACAAAAGACGGTTTTTTATTATTATTGCCGTTATAATTTTTTATATTTACATTTTCCAGAGAGTATCAATTTGTTCGACGAACATGTTTATGGTCGGTTGCATTTTTTTGTTTTGCAATAAAATCTGAATGATTTTTCGTAAATCGATCAATATGGTCAAATTCCAAAAAAAATCGAATGTGTGTATGAACTTTCTATTAATGACTATAATATATCTTTATTTTCAAATCCAAAAGAGAACGAATCAGTTTAGAACTCGTTGTGATCGGTACGACGTTGGCAGATACTATAGTTTATTAATTGATAAGCTTTAACGTGTTTATTTTTTCTTCGCACCGTATTTCATAAACTTAAAAATAAACCTAAAATGAAGAAGTACTTATCAAAGTAGTAAATCTACTTCCCGTTGATTCAGAACTTACATATAATTCAGAATTCGTAATCAGCGAATTTATGAACAATTATTTAATCACTCTGTCTTTGTCTGAATGACCCGCGAATCTTGACAGGATTGGTGTGTGAAGGGCATCCTTCAGAACTGTTAATTAAATTTTCAGAATAACTACAGGCGAATCTACAAGTACGTGTCGATCGCGGTAAGACCTCCTTTCTTTGCGGTGCTACCATTTGCGAAACTTTTTTCCGATGAAACTTTTTAGAACAAACATG